TAGCAAACGTCTCTGATAGAGACCCCCGTTTTACGGGTAGTTTTGGACGGCACTCGACTGAACATGTTCACGGCGGATCATCCGCAGACCGATGGTCAAACTAAACGCATCAATCGCGTTATTGGTGATATGCTTCGGAGTGTTTGTGCTGAAACACCAAAGTAATGGAGTACGATGCTCCCACTCGTAGAGTTTGCGTTAAATAACGCGGTTCATGCCTCGACCATTCTATGTGAATGGATGGTTCAACCCTCGCGTTCCTTTAACGCTACCCTCTGCTACATCAGAGCTTCGTGGGGAGATATAGCCGAAGTCTTGGCGGATATCAGCCCTCTTACGATTCGCAAGAAGGTGGAAGCGTTTCTGTCAACGCGTTTTGACGTATTACGTCGCGTCAAAGACGCTATGGCTGAAAGCTAGGATGTTCAAAAGGAACACACGGATTCCAAAGGCAGAAAGAACGATCGAGAGTTCAAAGTGGGTGATTTTGATTTTATTAAATGCTAGGAATTTACCTATTCGTGCCGTTGTGGCAGTATATAAAACTAAATGACGACTACGTTTTATTGGACAATTCAAGGTCATAGGCAAGAAAGCGTTGGCCTATACGCTGAACATTCCGAAGAAGATGAGAACACATCCTGTGTTTACGTAAGCTTGCTAAAGCCATATCTCAACCCAGCCTTGGTGCACATCAAGGGGTCGTCCACATATCCCCGGCCAAAAACGACGGGTATTACGGCACCAGAGGTGCATATGGACGCTGGAGGCGTACCAGGAGGTCGATCTGACATCGCAGCTCGGCCTGAGAACGCTCAATTGCCATTAAGTGATCCGAGGTCTCAGAGCGATAACGCTAAAAGACTGACGGTGTCGATCGACACGGTCATCGAGCGATGACAGGTGAGACCGCACCGATGCAAGGGCATCACGCTCCAGAAGCGTCAGGACACGCTCAATCTCAAAAAGATGAGAGGTCAATAGGTCGTTGACCTCCTTCGACGTTGATTGATGACCAGGGTCATCAACAGTTCCACGTGGAACGCACCTTGGCTCGGCGTCGTCACCAGGGTCAAACCCAATATCTGGTGAAGTGGAGGGGTTGCCACCAGTTGCACGACTCGTGGGAGTATGTGGTACCCCTCCGGCAGGATTGCCCTGACGCCGTTGACGCTTTTGACCAGGACGATCAGAAGCGAAGACAGCTGGCTTCGGACGCTTCCTAACACTAAGTGCTGAAAAAGCAATGCTAGTAGGCTGGCTTCGCCTCTGACCTTCAGAAGAAGCCAATGTCGGTACATCACTCGAGTGAGAGGTACGGGCAACAGCTTCAGAAGCTTGTCCCCCACAAGTCTTTGCCTTGTATGTGAAAGATACTTTTTGCATAGCTTTAAGCTTAGCGAGATCGAAACGCAGACTACGTTATAACTAAACGTCTGGTTCTTATGCGCTTGGGTGCAAGTCAGAAAGACTTGAAAGATTACACGCTTGTTCGACCAAACGGGGGTAGCTATTGGTCATCTAGCGCCGACGTCTCACCTGGTGCAAGCATTGCTGTATGTCATTTAGTGAACGCATCGGCACTACCCGTGACTTTCGTGACAGTCGATCCTGATACTATTTTATCTTAAACTTTTAGGAGTAAGGATCCGGTCATGAAGCGCGACACGATACGCAACCTTGCACGAAGTGCCTGCCTAAAACCCATTATTGTAAATATCAAGAAATGCGATACAGCTCGTCGAACTCCCTCGTTGGGATCTCTGTACTACAGTACAACATACCATCGGTCAGTGCAAAACGATGTAATCTCGCACGATTACGTGTTGACAGCTTCACCATAGAGTTTTTTCGAACTCTGCGCTACCCAGCGCCTGCATAGTGGCAACACATGCCTCATCGCGTGCATACGCCATACGGATACGATCCGTGGCTGACGACCTCACAACAGTGAGATGAGCAAGCTCATAGTCAGGTCTACGCGATAACGCGTCAGCCAAAACATTCTGTTTTCTCGGCTTACACTTCACCTCGAAGTTATCCTCCGCTAAAAAGGAGAGCTAACGAGCCATTATCTGCGAGAGATGAGGCGACTGTGTTGCTGTGCGTAGTGACGCATGATCGGTATAGATTACAAACGGCTTTGAGCCCAACAGGTGTACCCTGAACTTAACAAGGGCATAGTACATCGCAAGTAGCTCCTTGTCATGAACTTGCTAGTTCTTCTCTGCAACCTTCAGCTGGCGAGACTCCAACGCGATGACGCCTTCCCGGCGCTCTGAGTCAGCTTGCAAAAGTGCACTGCCAATGACAAAGACCGAAGCGCCACATACAACGCTAAACGGGCGATCAGGATCAGGTAGAGCCAGAATTGGCGCCTAAAGGAGAATCTCCTTGATGGCTTCAAAGCGTCGTGGTGCTCGGTGTAGTAACACCATTCCACATCTTTTTTAAGGAGATTGGACAATGACCTAGCCACTTCCGCATAGTTGTGGCTATACTTGTGCAAGTAATTTGCTACGCCCAACCACTTGCGGAGGTCCTTTTGATTCCTCGAAATCGGCCAATCCACTATGGCTTTGACCTTAACAGGGTCTGCCCGGATTCCTCGCTTCCCAATGAAGCATTCCAAAAAGGGAATCTCTTCCGCAACGAAGATGCATTTGTCAATATTGGCATACAACTTATTCATCCTCATGCAACCGAGTACAGCTCGCAGGTGCTTGATGTGATATCCACATCAGGCTTGACATTTTCGGCTCGACTATGAACGAATATATCGTCAAAGTGTGTCTGTGCATACGCCCTATGGGGCCGAAACAACTGCGTCACTAGACGATTGAACGTTGCAGGTGCGTTAGATAGCCCTTGGGGCATCACTTACCACTCCCAGAGCATACCGCTCGGAGTGCTGATCGCTGTCAGCGGGATATCACTAGCTCGCATGAGCCCTTGGTGCTATTCTTTGACTAAGTTGAGAGCACTATACATCGTACATCCTATCATATTGTTCTGAAGAACATACTTGCGAGGAAACGATGTTTGAGCCGGGATAGTGGCTGAATTCAGCTTATTGTAAGCGTGCACTATTCGCCAATTCCTATTAGGCTTGTTCACACAACACGTGCGCGTAGAGTGAGGAGACTTAATCTCACGTACCATGCCAGCCGCGTGCTTCGCACGAAAGAACTCGTCAATGACGTCACATTGTTCTCGCGGAAGCGGCCATTGTTGCATCACACAGTATTTGGTTCCTGGAACCAAGTCAATCTCATGACGTACACCTCTATCCGGAGGTAACCTCGTCGGAGGTTCTCTGAAGACAACATCTCCATATTCCTTTAACAAAGAAAAATAAGGACCGAAGGGTCCTTCAGGATCTGCGATCCACTACGCGCATTCAACGCCTTCTTGGTATCCTCATGAACTTCTGCTATATCCAAAAGCGATGAGGAGTTCAACTCCTCCTCAGGTCGTAAAGCGACCACTTCGGCGATGTCGCCTGCCTGTAAGGCAATGTCAATCTCGTCAAAGGTCAACTCGTCCAGCTCTAACCGAGCACTTACTGCGGGTATTGATGAAAGAGCCACCAAATCTTCAACATCCCCAATCAAACCATTGACGAGTGTATATAGCTGTTCGCTATCACCGTCACTCACGATAATATCATCGCTACTCATGATGCTCTCAGCATCTGACGCATCAGCGTCCACAGGTGTACACACCTCAAGGTCAACGACCACTTCGTTTACTGACTGCACCCCACCCTCTTGGGTCAATGCCTCGTCATGAGGTGTTCGCACTTCGTTGTACTCAAAGACAACCGTCATTTTTACTTCACCCGACCCCTTCCATAAAAACCGTGACCGAGGGGCCGGGTGACTGATAGGACAGGCGACCGAGGGCCGGGTGAACGAGGGGCCGAGGGGTCGCGGGGTTGCGGGTCCATCGACCGAGGGACCAGGGCCAATCTCGAAAAGACTGGGGTCCACCTCGAGAAGCCGCGGTCCATCGGCATGACCGCGGTTCACTCCTCTGAATGGAGCAAGCCTCATTCAACGGTCGTCCCTCGTCCCTTTTAGCGCCCCGTCTCTCTATCCCTTACCTAACGGCCTTCTCTTTGACCCACCGGTACTCTGGCCTACCAATTCTTGAAACGCTTCACCACACGTATGTAACGGTCTTTAAGCGGCAACACGGCAAACTCGATTCCCGTTTAATATGCTGCCGGTTCATCGAATAAACGAAGCACTAGAAAGCATCGCGGCTGAAGATATACAGAGCCGTCGCATTATAATAAATCGTGACGCGCCATTCTAGGAAGATGTCTTTACAGATGGGAGACGCTGCTTTAGCGATGAAGACGAGTTAAAAAAAAAGACGTCTTTGTGAATATCCCGGATGATGATGCTACTGATCAGAAATTATTACTCCACCATATATAGCTAATAATGACGACGACACTGCGCCTGGGTCCAAGCGTCACACCCGAGCTCTTTCGTTGGAACACGCAGCTGAAATTCCGGTGCCGAAGAGGCAAACTCGTTCACGGACAAGACGAAAGATGCCAGCATTTGCGCGGGAACCGTACAATCTTCACGCAGCGTATGTTGAAAATTCAGTGGGAGAAATGCTAACAGCGTATATATCGGCGATGGAATCTAGCAATGCGGTTACGGCGCCATCATCTCGCCCTCCGCAGAGCCTGCGCTTTACATCCTTGTTATTAGCAAAGTCATGCCGCAAGAAGATGCATGCGGGTATTTCTCCATGGTAAAGCACCTTGTAATCCACGGTAGTTGTTTTTGGCTTCTAAATGACTTCCTTTACCGTATTTTGATTTGTGCGCTCTAGCTCTCGTGTGGGAATATGATTTTGTATCTAGTTTTCAACAGCCCACACCGATATGCTTTCGGTATCCCAAGTACGAAACCCATCGAAAGGTAAGGTATAGTAGTACCGGTAGTCCCTCACCATATTAGACAAGCACCAGTAAAATAATGATGTGGCACACGGTCGTAGTCCTGCTACCGCTGGCACTAGCGCTTGTGTATGGTAATCATGCATCGGTTTATCTCTTGCAATAACAGTAGCATAGATAGTATAACCTCTATCTTTGTGTCCCATTAGCCCAAGATGCGGATGAGTTTGACGTCATAGAGGTATATACAAGCTTGTTCTCATTACAATCAAATTAGTTAAAGGATTTTTGACTACGGTATTATGCTGATGGGTTTCTGCACTCGATTTGTCTGGATTAGCCCCAAGAGAAGGTGGTTTCGGTTTCTGCGCAGACAATGCCTGCGCCGGGCTTCGCCACGTTGGCCAAACAGCTTATCCCCTTCCAGGACCGTAAGTCATGCTGGCCAATTGACTATGGGAATAGGATTCTGGTAGCACATTAACTGGATTCGCACATATTTTTATCATTGCAGCGGATTATTTCGTGATTGAAGCAAGTAGCTGGGGCATTGGTATCCTTTACTTAGTGTTCTACATTGTCGGCAAGGCACAGAACCGTAGAATTGCGAACAAATGGTACGGAGGACTTTGTGCGGAGGCAAATACTGTTAATATTGTCTGAGTGTTTCTGATGCGAAGGCTGGACGAAGCAGAACCAGTGCTGCGTACTCAGTTCTCGTACACGGGGTCAGCGGCGGTGAATGGTATGGGTTTGATCGAGGAAAGCCAAAGCAATTTTAAATATTTTTGCACAGGCCGACGCTTCTTGACGCGCTTTGTTGCTGACCTGGAGGTAATTGTTTTTTGATATTGAGCTACAACGCCTTATGCTGATGTCTTTTGCTTTGCCTTTTGCAGTTGAAACTTCGTCACGACGTCATCAATCGCATTTACTACCTCGTCGTGCCGACGTCAGACTACCTGGTAGACGCACACAATGGCACCATATCGCTGTCGATAGTTGTTGTTAACATGCAACAATTTTTATAAATTGGATGCACTTAGACGATCGATGTGGGTTTGCATGGCGAGCAAGTGGACCCTTTCATCCTTGGTATTAGCAAGAAGTTGAGCTTTACCGCGTTGGCCAAGACATTCCCCGAGCTAGTACGCTTCGATGTTCTGCCTGTGTTTGTGGTAAACTTTCAACACCTTTTGAAATGCTGTTTTGTAAATTAGATCGAAATAGCCAAGCAGATTCCGGTTAAGGAGGTGCCTGAGTCGATGTGGGTTGCTACAGACTGCACTGAAATTTCCAAGGCTGCGCTAACATACTCCGTACAAGCGGTAAGACCTGTTTGCTGCACTATTTCGATGTTATGCATTGTTGAAGCTGAGTTTACTATCGGCACAAATCAAATTGTATTTGTTGCAGTCTCTGAACGAGCTGGAAGACTTCCTCGAGTACATTGTGATCACTGACATGAACAAGCAGCTAATAATGTTAGTAAGTATTTGATCAAGTATCATAAAGGAGGCTAACGGTTGTTTGTTGATGTCATAGTGGTATGCCAAAGACACAGAAGCACATCCTACGGGCCCGCTTCAAACTTCAGGCGTGTTCAAAGACGTTGGATACGCTGAAGGCGCTTCAGCTTATATTTACCCTGATTGACGGCGTTGGGGCCTTCATCAAGCTGTCACCAAACGTGCGTTACCTGTTTCTGCTTTTGTGCGCAGGTTTAGTATGTCATTTCTGACAACATTTTTTGAGCAGGCGAAGCATAGTGCGATTAAAAGACGTTTAAAGATTAAACAAGCTGCTGAGGCTCTTGCTTCCGCCCAAGGAGATGTATGGCACTGGGCTTCAATTGTTTCAGTTGCCTCGCTCGTGACTAACATCGGCACTTTGCCTTGTAGCGTGCTGCCAATCGCAAAGCAGAACTGAACGAGAAGAAACAGAAGGAGTACGAGTCTCTGTCGTACGATGAGCAGCAGAAAGTTGATGCAAAGAATGAGAAGAAAGCCGCTCGCAAGCGCTTTAACCGCAAGGCAAGTTTACTAAGTCATGCTGTCGCTTGATATGAAGTAACTAATGCCATGCTCATGCTACTGTGGAACCATGCAGAAGTAAGCATAAGAGTTTGGGAAAACGCGGGTACCAAGTCAAGTGCTTCATTGTCTTCCTTCTCATGGTAATTGACTAGTTTGCAACAATCTTGCATTGTTCTACAGCTGTAGTAGAAATCCTACAATATGTTTCAACCTACATTGAAGCAATCTATTCTCTTCTGCTTTATCTCGTTTATGGTGTTGTTGTTTATCTTACTCTATTAGAGAGCACTCAAATTATTGGATTGTCCACATACACTATTATTATCATCAATCGATTGATCGATCGATCACTGTTCAAGAAAAAAGACCTTTTTGCTCCAAAGTGTGACAAAACACCAGTTTCAACGAAAAAAATATGCATTCACTCTTCAAGAAGTCTCGACCCTCACAAGTCTTTGATAAAAAGAACAAACGAGTTAACTAAAAACTACATTCACGACCAGTGTCTTATTCTATTTCTACGACCGTCTTTCGCTCTCTATCTGTAGGTTTTAGGTCGTAATTCTTTCATGTAAAAAGTAGTTTATGCAGCTTCAAATACGAAAGCAAAGATAGTCGAACTTTCTTGACGACTTTTCTCTGCTGTTGTTTTCTTGTCTTCTTCCTCTTGTCTTTTGTATTGATTATTTTATCATCATGCACATACATACTATCTCATAAGCCTATTGAACTGCTGAACGGAAGCCTCAAGACTTTTCAGTAAACTCTCGCCATGGAGCTCAGCTACCCACTTATGCGTGTGCCTTTCGAAGGTGCCACTAAAAGCTTTCGTCTGTATCAAAAAAAGATGACGCGAGAGCTGACACTGGTCGTGGCACAGATTGAGGCAATGGACAGCAATGACAGTCAGCCGCCAGGCCATCGAATGGACGTTGAAGCGGCGATCAAAGAGCTAAGTGAGCTGGCTCAGACCTTGCAAAGACTGAAGCAAAGCGCCGAGCACAACGTGCTGGAGCAACAAAACAACCTGGAAAACTGTGTAAAGCGCGCGCAATACCTCGAGACACTGCAAGATATAAAGATCGGAGGTAAAATCTCGATGGTCGCGCGTCAGAACGATCTCGGGTCTATCATGAATGACAGACTTGTTGCCGACTACTTGCTTGGACAAGGATATCTTGAGAGTGCCAAGATAATTGCAGACAGTCATGGCAGTAAGTTCTTTGCAATCTTTTAGGATGAAAAGATGGTCTTGTGGTCTATCTCACGCTTGTTTTGTTATGTTCCAATAGATATGGACTACTTGCTCGATTACGATCTTCATGCAACATGCCAAGCGGTGCTAAAGGACTTGCGAGATTTTCATACACAAAAGGCGCTTGCGTGGTGCTCAGAGAATGGCACACGACTTCGGCGTCTGCAATCAACACTGGAATTTCATCTACGACTGCAAGATTTTGTCGAGTACGTGCGCTCTCGCAAGCCATTGAAAGCTGTTCAGTACGCGCGTGCGTACCTTGCACCTTTAGCAATTCAATCGGACAACCAGGATCTTCGTGATGCTGCGATCGGTGAAGTTCAGATCGCTATGGCTATATTGGCCTTTGAGTCGCCTGAAAAGTGCGGTATTGAGGCGTACGAAACGATTTTTGCGACGGATCGATGGCTGATACTGGAAAAAATGTTTCGCAAGACTTTTAACGACGTTTATGGAATACACGACCCGCCGTCGCTGTGTATCGCGCTGCACGCTGGGATCTCTACGCTAAATACAAGAGCATGCCACCTTATTCGAGACGCAAAGTTGAAGGCTCGACTACCACAGAGTGGATTCCAGAGCAAAAGAAGACGCCGAAAAAGCGAAGGAGATGACAACAGTGATGGCAATGAAAACAACTGTGGTAATAAAAGTGGCGATGAATCGCTAGAGCCGAGCACAGCATTACAGTCAAAGAGTGCTGCCTCTGCTCGATATAGCCATGCGGTTTCTCGTAGCAGAAAACGCAAGCACGTTCGCACCGAGTCTCCAGTATCTATCTGTCCAGCATGCAGTGAAGTTGGCAGCCAGTTGTGCAAAGGGCTCCCATTTGCGTACCATCCGCACTCACGACTGGTTTGCCGCGTAACGCAAAGTCTTATGGACGAGCACAATCCACCCCTTGTACTTCCTAATGGTCGTGTGTACAGCAAACAAGGCATTGAGCTGCTTACAGAACAAAGCACCGATGGAATGATCAAGTGTATGGACACCCATGATGTATTTTCACCAAGTGACGTAAAGCCCGTGTACATTCTCTAGCCAAAGTATCCGTTTGGCAGTAGCACTCGATTTCGTGCTACCGGTAAGTACAAATTGCAATTCACATTATCTTTTCAATTGTTTAGGCCGAGTTAGATGTATTTGATACCAAAATACGAGGTGTAAAAGCTCCTGAGTGCTGCAAGCTTTCTGTCACAGTTTGCATAAAGTCCTGAACGCCATCATCATCATCACATATTAATCGTGAGCAATTTGTAGTCAAAGCGCGTGCATTCCTTACCTGAACAACTTTCTCGCTAAACTTCTTCACTCCTTCCGCAAGCAGAACTAAGTAGATAGCATCGTCGACTCTAGAAATATGATACATTGTCTTTTGCCGTCGCTCAGAATGCATGAAACTGTTCACAACATCGAGGCCGGAACACGAGTTGCAGGATATTTCAATTTGTATGTTAGAAAACTTACACTGGGCGAACCAAATCAAGTGAAGAGCGATTATCCATGATTAGACTGACAATGTTTGGTCAGTGCTCAAGCGAGGGCAACAAACTTTCGGGGTTGCAAAATACTGCTGGCCCGAAGGCTCGTTACCCGGCTTGAGCGTCCAACTACGAAGGCCCTAAATCTCAGAGAAATCGTTCTGCTCTGCATTTCCCAATGATTGGTCCGCATAGACAAGGCGTGCTGTACGTAATGATCCACTGACCGTCGACGTCCATTTGCAGGCGATGTCACCCTATCCTTGTTCCTCTTTATTGCAGTTCTGCCAAAATGACAGTCAAGCTTGAACTTTGGTGGCAGTCAAGATCGGATTTGGCACGGAAATGAAATGACTCAGACGCAAAATGCATTATTCTGTAACTTATTATTACATGCATCTAAACGGCGGAAAGCTTTAGCTCGTGTATCGTGTACTTGGACGAGAGCATGTGGACAGAGAGGCTGTCTCCATGCGTAGGCAGGTTCTGACCCATTAACCGACTCCAGTTGTTGCGTGACTCTGCATGAAAGAAGCCGTATACAAAGTACGAGAGCGCTCCGGCACCCATCCAAGCAACACTAAGACCCAGTGCCAGGTGGCTGATTTGTGCAATCATATACCAGTCGGCGAGGATACACGTCATCGGAATGAACGGCACGAGCGGAGCAGCGAACAGACCCGGTATATTGGCAGTTTGCGGGCACTTGACAAAGAGCGCCACTGAGATTCCAACAGTAATCACAAGAAAGACGAAAGCAAGAATCAGGCACGCTAGGGACGAGTTGTTCTCGTATCCCTCCTGGTACAGGAATGCTGCACACCCAGCAGTCATAACCAGTGCGACGACGAGAATGGCGGCCAGGTTTGGTGACTGAGGTCTCATACGCGCTAACATTAGCGACACGTTGGCAACAATGAACGACATCATAACACCAAAGTTCACAATATCCCACAGAGTATCGAAGGGCACCACGATGGCAATCACCGTGAAGAACAGACCCGTGATAAGCGTGTTCTTAAACAAGTTGCCCTTAGAGTTTACTTCAGCAAAGATGCGCGGCAGAAGCCCGTCACAAGCAAGTGCGTAATTTAAGCGAGGCTGAGCCAGGAAGCCAATGAGTGCCACTACAGGCATGGTGACCACCTCACCAGCACGCACAACAGTGCCGGCCCATTTCCAGCCGTGGCCCTCAAATCCGTCACCGAAGCTGGCTGCCTCAGTGAAAGCGATCATACCGGCCAGCACAAGAGAGCACAATGCGCTCAGCACCATTGTGCATAGCACAGTAGCCATGATAGCAATAGGCATGGTCTTCTTGGGGTTTTTGGTCTCGCCGGCGAGGCAGCAAACCTCATCGAAACCGGCGTATCCAAAAAACGCGTGTGAAGCGCCGGTGATAATGCCTTGCGTCCCAAAGGCCATTATACCATTTCGCTCGGTACTTTTGGGTATAAAAGGTGACAGATTGTCAGGATTCATGGCAGCAAACCCAGCAATGATAATAAACACCACGACACTCATCTTGATTACAGTGACGGTGTTCACAAAGACCTTGCCAAATCGCACGCCCATCAGCAGCACCACCATGCTTAGGAATTGAATAAGTCCACCACTTAGATTAGCAAACGGCAGGTTCAGCCAACGGAAGCTCTTGTCAGGGTACTCGACCATAAGCCATTCCTCAACCTTATCTCCCCAACTACGCGCCACGCCAGCACCTGACACGGCATACTCGAGAGTCAGCAGCCACGCGGCGATGACAGCAGGCAGCTCGCCGATCGTGTAGTAGGCGTACGCGTATGTACTTCCTGAAGACGGTACGCGCGTCGATAATTCCATGTACGCAAAAGCGTTGAGGCAGCAAATAATGCCGCCGATAAGCCAGCTGATTACGGCAGCAGGACCAGCCGTCTCGCTAATCATTGATCCGGCAGTAGAAAAGACACCACTGCCAATGGTGGCTCCCACACCTACACAGCACAGGTCAAAGAGAGTTAATGTGCGTGGAATGTCCTGCGAGATTTCCTCGGCTTGGATGACTGACATCGGCTTTGTTCGCCACACCGCAGAGAAATCCGTCATTCTGATTATGTAGTGGTCGAAAGAAACGAGCAAATCGAGACAATGCCACTTGCGGTGTCAAAACTTGAATGAAAATCCAACTCAGGGTCGTGCCCACCGAGATCGGTGGCATGAAGCAGCTAGCGAAGCAGATGCATGAAGCATGCAGCACCAACGTTTCAGACCACCCAATGATGCTGCATAAGACACTCGTGTCACGTCCTGCCTCACCAAACTTGTTTGACGTCTCGTCTTTGGCCTTATTGCTGTGCTTACACCGGGCAAGATCCGAATATTTTGGTACCCGCAGTTTTTCTGTATTGGAATGTGATCTGATGAGTGCGACATAATATCGACAGCATGTCTTATCAGCTCAGACATTTGCGAGTCCCAAGATAATGTCAAGAAATTACTTGGACGTGTTCACATGAGCTTGAAAGATTTGTCAAAATAACTGATCACTAGTCAAGTTCCTACGGTGCAGTATGTTAAGAACGGCGTCGCAGTCTTGCATCAAGCACGATGATCGTTGCCAACTATAAAATCGGAGCTGTTGTGTATCAATGGGTGAGTCTTGGCAATCTGACGGCAAAAAAAGCATTTGTTTCACTTTATGACTGACTGACTTGAGCTCGTTAGGGATAAGGAACTTAAAGGAAGATTAGAAGCACTGTATTTTGTATCAAAATGTTTCGACTGGTTGTTTCTTATAGTCACACGTATGTGGAACTTTGTAAAAAATTTGTGTCCTGCGGATCGTTTTTGCGTAGAAAACGTCATCTTATAAGCGCCAAATGAGCTCATATTTTATTTATCTACTCAATCGTACCTATCCTATCCTACCAATATTTGTATCTCCCAACATGACAGCACAGCAAACGCATAAGCAAAAAAGCAGACGCACTATTATCAAAGAAGTGTGACCTCTGTTTACAATCTCCAGCGTTACACTCGGCGTTGGCGTTTGCGCAAATCGCTTCTTTGGTTGCTTTGATCAGTTTTTGATGTAGAACTGCGGCTTATAATATCTTGTCCTTGTCTCGCTAGCTTTTTTGTCGTCCTGATGGATACACAAGCCCTTTACAAGCAGTCGTTATTAGCGCTTTGTTTCCCATCGCTGGTGACATAACTGCCTTACGTTTGGTCTATAAAGGTTGCTCCACATCTTGGCGATGCTTTAAATCGCCATCCACAAGTACTAGAGGGTCCTGCGGGTCGCACTGATGTATTTAAGTGCTTGCAATACATAATTATTCGGATATTTTCACTGTATGATTCTCATGAGAGTCCTTTGTTATCTCTGCAACGAGCCATGACTACTACGTGCAACAACAAGACGTGAAAGCTGCATTGAAGTTCACACAACTTGAACAATGAAGAAAAACCATTTTAATTGACGACACAGTTATAATTGTATTAAAGGAATGAATCATCGTTTGCAAGGGTAAAAAGCAAAATGACGTGAATTAACTTAAAAGGGTCTTCAGGATAATACAAAACTTCTGCGGCTGGATCTTGTCCGTCGTGGCTGTAGCGGGAACGGCAACCGCTGCCATGTTCCGATCATTGTGCACATTGAGAAGAAAGGGAGTACGTGAAAGGGAGAACGTAAGGACACTAATTAAGCGCGCAGATGATCTTTTTCTGAGAAGCAGTACGCACAGACGTGAGACTACATCAAAGCTAAAGTGTCAAAATACCCCTTAACGATAAGCCCCATTTTTTGAAGCAACTGTGTGTAGCGGTGTGCACCGTACACATCCTGCTAGGTACGACCTAGCAGTCCTGTTTCGTTGGTAACGAGCATGTTTTACGAGGCTTAGCTAAGTACATATATCACATAATTAGGTATACGCTGGGTACAGCATGTCCTATTTGTCGACATGTGGGAATCCGGTACATTATCAGCCAATAGGATACGACCTTTGTATCAAGTGGCTCTCAGACGTTTGGAGACCACTCGTACATAAAAACATAATTATAAATTTATAGAGCTAAATTTGGCATTAACTAAACGCGCGCTTGATTAACGTTTCCTCGTAAGCCCTTGAGTGTAATCTACGTAACAAGCCCTTATCCCGTTACACTTCGTAGCACTTCGTGGTACCTCAAACGAAGATGAGCTCTCTGTCTAACCAGGGCGCTGAGGGAGGGATGCTGGATCATGATGACCCCCAAAGATGAAAATTTTCCAGCATCTGACATCTTTCGACTGAGAAGCTCTGCATCGCCTAGCAGACATGGCCATTATAACTACCGTTTTCGCCATGCTCAAGGACACGCCTAAGCGGCTATAGCGCGTAGTCATCCAGGACTTTTTCGACCGCAAACTCGCCAATTTACGTCGGCGAGCCTTAACTCCCGCGGTTGTCACAGGGTAAGTCGTCGTCAAACTCGACGTCGCGTGCTATAGCGACGAGGGACCGAAGCGCCTCGCGCTTTGTCGATGGCTTTGTAAAGTAGACATTTCTGTTCAAGCCGTAAGCCAGATTTTGATTGCACCCGCTTCCTCTTGTCCCAGTTGACTGGAAAGGCAAAGGAGTGGGCACTGGGCAAGCTTGTGGCCGATCTGGGATGTTTCCCGGATATGAAGGCCCCAAGGGACGAGCTAAGTCTGGCGTTTGAGCTTCCGAAGGATGAGCACCACCACCGCTCGGATTTCTTGGCACTGAAGCAAGGTCGTGTGTCGATGCTGGATTACATCCAGCAAGCACGACATTTGGCGTCCTGAATCGTCACCAATCCGATTAACACAGTGACGCAAGTCCACGTGTTTGTCACGGAAATGAACGCTGGGCATCAGCATTTTTATTTGACGCGGAAGCCCCTGAAGTCGCTTGAAGAGGCGTTTGCTATCGCGTTGCGTGAGGACGTCTACGTCATGGCTTCGCGCATGGAATATTCTTCGCCTCCTCCTGCTACTCAACTGCCTGATTTCATGGGAGATGCGCGATCGATCACACCATCTACTCTCGGCGTGCTCCAAACGCCGAATCCCAGAAGCCTGTAGCACCAAAACGTCTGGCTTGTTTCCCTGTCGTCAGCCTGGTCACCACTCGGCTGTATGCCGTGCACTCGCACCAGTCCTCGCTGTCGCTGCGTCTGACGTCACCGTCAAAGCCGCTGATCAGCCAAAAACGATGGCAACAAGTAAGCGCGGGGTGTGGGTAGAAACGTAGACACGTGTCTGCGGTGTCGACACGTTTTCCTAGCCCCACTGTGCAATATGCACAGCTAAATGCCACCACATCCAGCAATGATTTGCGTTTGATCGTGCTTAGCGTTGACGTTGACGGTGCGTCACGTCCACTTCGCGCATTGATGGACTCAGGCGCGACCAACAAATGTCCGTGCTGAGAGTTTACCCGTTCTGCCGTCGCGGTTGCGTGTCCGCGAGTCTTCAGGAGCGATGATCGTCAAGTATGCGGACGGCAAGCACCCCGCACGCACCGACATCGTTCGGAGATGCTTCTTTACCGGTTCGATGCTTTCGAAAGCAGTGATGAATTCCAAGTTATCGACTTGAGCGATTCATTCGACTGCATTTTTGGAATGCCGTGGCTTGCACGGCATCGACCTTACATTAATTAGTTGAATCACACGGTTCAACCACGTGATATTGTTGTCAGTACGGCTCTCGCCGTTCTTAACAGACCGAAGAGTAATTGGCAGCATGTTGATTTCTTGGACCCTGACTCCACGACTTATCATGTTCTCGAGTTGTGCGATGGTCCTTCGAGTGTGGTGTGTAATTTAGCAACCTGCTCTCCCTCATCCGAACAGTGGTTCCTGAGTCAAGGATCAAACCCGCAGCAGTGGCAGCGGGTGTCTCATGGTCGAGCAGTGGATCCCATGCGTGTGCGTTCTTCCAAAACCGCACGAAGACGGAGACATTATGTACGTCACGAGCGAGCAGTGGCTCTCGTGCGAATGCGAGCTGCAAATGTTGCACCGAAGCAGAGGCTTCCAGTGTGTGCAGTTCCAGGTTCGACCACATCGAAGCAGCGGATATCGATGTAGCAGTGGCTCCCGTGTTAGTCCTTATAGAGGACAGCACGTCGAAGCAGCGGCTTCCGACGACTTACGCGGAGACAGTGACTTCCGTGCAACCGGTAAGTGTTCCTGTGTCTCGTCGTCGCCGTGAGCGGCATGATCGTGTTTGTCCTCTCTTGTCAACACCATCTCTTTCGCCGGTGTCTCCATGCGAGACCATCATTGTCGTTACATAATTCGTACTGTTCCGCGCAGCCATTCGTTACAGGTCGCGAGTCCACCTCGCGACGTGTCTGGCATTCGCAGCTTTCGGAACTTTCTTGGGTTAAGTTACTGCATGGTTAAAAAAGGGAGAGATCGAACAACTCTGTTTAGTCGTTCAAGATCCCCGAGCTCCACAACCACGAGCGTCCAGAAGGGATGGAACCTTTTTCCGAATGTAAGGAGAGCTTTGCGGCACAATCCCGCGAAGAACTTGCTGCGTCAAATTTCCTGTTCTCGCGCTTGCGCGCGAGTTTGCCGATGTCTTTCCTGACAAAATGCATGCGGTTCTTCTGCGGATAGAGGAGTGCGGCATGAAATTGATATCGTGCCTACTTCGAATCATTTCGCCACTACACAGTAGCCGCTCTTTCGTGGCCAAGCCAAAGCCTTTGAAGCCTCTTTTGAAGGGCGTCGCGCCGCAGAGTACGTGCGTGAGAGCACGTCTCCCAATTCTAGTCCCACCTACTGTTTCAAAAGGCGATGAAAGGATGGCGCATCGTTTCTGCATTTAAAAATCCGAACGATGCGAATATATCGGCGTCGACGCCAATCTCTCGAAAGGTTATGGTCTTGGATGCCATGTCGAGAAACACGATTTTCTCGTTAATGAATTTGACAGACGGCTTTTACCAGATTTTGCTTGATACAGCCTCAAGATTATTCATTCACTGCCGTAAGCACACCTAGTGGTATGCTTTGGGAGAGGCTTGTCATACCCCAGGGCCCAAGACCGCCCCTGTTACTTTCAGCTGAATGGTCTCCCACGTGCTTTGCCCATTTCACGACTTTTCGCCGAGATATTTTGATAATATAGTCGTGCATATTTGCGCATTCGATGGCGCTACTGAATTGGACGTGCATCTTGGTCACCCTCGCAAAGTTTTTGAGGAGATGCGTGAAAACAATTTGTATGCGAACCTGAAGAAATGCATCTTCTGTGCTCCAGAGATCCCAGTGTTGGGCTGTTACGTGAGCGCGACGGGTGCTCGCGCTGATACCGAGAAGATCTCATCTCTTTGCTCATGGCCATATCCGAAGGACCAGAAACATCTTTGACAATGGTTGGATCTAGCTAACTTCCTGCATCACTACGATAAAGACGTTGCGGCAGTGATTTATCCATTATCACAGCTACTGAACAAGGACGCCACGCGGTTGTGGCGTCAACAGTATCAGGATGCATTCGACGAGATCAGGAAGAGACTCACGACAGCTCCTGTGTTGGTGCTACCGAACTATGACGTGCCATTCCATGTTGTCTGTGACGCAAGGGATTTTGCTATCGGCTATGCGCTGATGCAACATGATGATGCGGGTAAGGAACGCGTGGTCAGCTACCAATCTCGGCAGCAAAAGTCTGCCGAGCGAAACTACCCCGTTAATGACAAGAAGTTGCTTGCAATGCGCAATGCACTTAGAAAATTTTGCTTAAATCTGCTTGGAGAGCAGACATTTGACATCTACACAGACCACACGTCCCTAAGTACCCCCACGAAGAGCCCCCATCTCAGTCAGCGATTGGCGCGCTGGTTGGCGTTCTTCGCGGAGTACAACTTTGTCGTGCACTACAAGCTTGGATCGAACAACACATTGCCGATGCCTTGTCACGGTGTCCTGATTATGATTGTGTTGATGCTTCTGTTTTCGCCGCCTCAGAGTCGAATGATGACGACGAAGCGGTTTGCATCATACTCGGTCTCAACTTTACGGCTGTGTCTACGGCTAACCCTCTAAGCGTGCGTGGAAGCGTATTCTCGCGATGAGTTCTATTCGCCAACTCTCCGGTATTTGAGTAACCCCTTGGATGCGGAGCTACAGTCCCTCTCGAATTCCAATCGGGAACACATCACGCTCTACATGATTTTAATGAGAAGCTGCTCACATTCCAGATCGATCGTTTCAATTCTCCCGGTATCTTCGTCCCCCTTGACGACAGATTTGCGCTAGCTTATTCTCAATGAGCTTCATGACAGTGCGTAGAGCGGCCATATTAAAAGACATATTTATCGCTGTCTAGGAGATTTAATTGGCCTCATGTGTACAAGTGGTTGCGTATGTGGGTTCCCCTTTGTGAGGTTGCTAGCGTAAGAAGCCAGCTACGTCGTCACAGGCGCCCTTTGTCCGCTATTGATTGCCATGGAGGTTTGGAACTCCGTGAGCATGAATTTCGTGTTTGGTTTACCCGAAGATGTGCAAAGGCGTACCGACGTTTTGGTGACAGTTGACACGTATAGTAAAATGGTGCATCTTTAAGCAATTGTGGCGTCAATCACTGCGGAGGAGACAGCAGATCTCTTCGTCGACATGGTCTTTCGACATCATGGCATGCCTGCCATGATTTTTTGGATGGGTATTCTCGCTGTAACGCTAAATTTTTATCTCGGCTGTTCGAGATATTCGGCACCCGCCTGATGATGTCTACAGCTGCCCACACTGCCACGGATGGCCAGACTGAACGAGTCAATCACGTCTTAGAGGATGTGTTGCGTAGCTACGATACTTCTTTTGCATCATGCAACTCTTTTCTTTCCATGGCCTAGTTTGTATTCAATAACACAGCCTACGCTTCGACAGGGCTGACACCCTTCTTCGTGAACAACGCGCGCCATCCCCGTGCTCCTGTTCTTTCGGGATTAACGAGTTACTCTACTCTTGTTGGAGAAACACCAGATGACTTAGTGTCGAAAGCGTCCCTACACGTCCTCTCACTGAACGTTGCTCAGACTCGCGCTTCTACTCAGCGTGAGATTCTTTCGCATGCCATAGATGACCCGACTCAGACGCCAATTATGAAACTCCGTGCAGCTCAACCAGTTCCATCACCAGGTGCGACATCCAACGTTGCAAATTCCGACGTTATAACGATGCAAAACGTTCGTTATCAGACTCCACAAGGGTTGAAGCCTTTGTGCAACAACGTCAGTCCATCGTGCAGTTTGTGCGTAACGCTATTGCCTCTGCCGTGGAAAAACAAAAGGCGTCCGCTAATCAACGCGGACGCAAAAATCTCAAGAAGTTTAAAATTGGTGATTTTGTTTAGCTCTCAACAAATGAAATACAAGATGCGTCGGTTACGAATCTTGATGCCACATAGCTGGCACCGCGATATGTTAGACCGTTTAAGATCTCCCAAGTTAGGGGTGATGCCTACACTCTGGTAATTCCTTCCTCGATGCGTCTCAACCCAACCTTCTATGTTGTCGTCTCAAGCGTTACTGTCCGGCTGTTGTTCCGTCGTCGATTGATTCGCCGCGGGTGCATATTCCGGTCCCGATAATGTGGTTTCCTCATCGGATCAGGCTGGCGCAGCCCACGCAACACCGCGTTGTCCCGACAAAGACCGGCATTTTGATTGTTCCAGACGCTCAAAACGCTTTGCTCATACAGCAATAGCAAAAAATATCTCCTAAGCTAGGCTCTCGGCAGCCTCGGCTAGGTCACGCGCTTGACTTGTATCATGGTCAACAAAGCTTATTCCGCGAATGACCTCTTCTAGCTGCTACACAAGTGACTGGTTCAGAGCTGGCGCCGGAGCTTTAAGTTCCTGCGCCACGCGTTCGATTCCAGCGTGAGGGTCCTTTACCACTGGTTGATAGCGCCGGGAATCGGCGTTGGCTAGTTGAGCATATCCTAGAAAGCAAAGGGACCCGGCACAGGTCATTTGTGGCACCGCTCTCATATTACACAACCACGTTCCAACAACGCGGCAATACTGCGTTTGCTGACATGGTGTTCCCATGATAGCGACTCGTGGGAACCTCGCACGACACTCTTGGCAGACGCTCCGGAAATCGTAAATGCCTACGATTGCGAGATCGCCAGCGTCGAACAGCTCGCGATACTGGAGGATTTCGTGTGCGAGAAGGAGTTCTTGGGTTTGGTGAAGGTAACCTTTTACAGCCATGTTAGATCGGCTTGATGGATGCGCGCGTCGGTAGTCGTAGAAGCTTCTCTCGTACCTTTGGATCCAAGTATTCTACTTATCACTCATCGAATAATTCTCAAGCATCGTCATCCATAAGCGCGGTCAGGCCGCGCTACGCCATTGTCTTCGCAACTCGACAACCTTTACGCCGGTGTACAGTACAAGCAGGGCGGTCGGTAGCCCACGACCATTCGCAAACGATCTTCCGAGTCTCTGCGAGGCCATCATACTGACGTCTACCTCACGCATCGGCAAAAGAACGGCGAATAATGAT